CTCATGCTACCAGACCTGTCCCTAGAGCTGACCCTTACCCTGCTCCTGATCACAGGCCTTTGCTGGACCATAGATCTTCCCAATGAATAAACAGTTCAGAGATGCTGATGTCACCTCCAAGCCACAAATCTGACTGAGGGGATGGGGTACTGTGATAAACCAGGTAATCCCAGCTAAGGTGTGGGTGTCCTCTAGAAAAACCCGAGGTTAAGTCAGTGAAGTGATGATAAAGCCTTGGGCCAGGAAAAGAGAATGTTCTGGAGGCTGTGAGGCTGAGGGCAGAGGGCCCAGGAGCCCTGCCTTCTGCACCTGGGTTCCTCAGCTGAAGAGGATGATTTGTGACCTGGCCTCTGCTTCTAGAGCACCAGGATCTCAGTGTGTGTGCTACCACACCCAGTTTATGCAGTGGTGGGGATGGAACCAGTTCCTGAGACCTGGTCTTAAAATAAATGGAAGGGCTGTGTGGCTGGGGAAGGCACAGCCCTCACCAGGAGGAGCACTGAGCTAACTACATCCTTCCACCTCTTATCTGTAAGATAAATTTACCAGATACAACACAGATGCACAGGCTGAATTAGAATTTCATATAGATAAGGAGTAAGTTCTTAGCATAAAACTGGAGAGAACACTTAGCTGAATCCAGATTTAACTGGGACCTTCCACAGTTTTACTTCAATCTTGGGATCTATTTAGAAAATGGTTCCAATAGGGGGTTGTGACTTACACCTAGAATCACAACTCTTTGGAGGTGGAGGCAGGTGCCCAGTCTGGGCTACATGGTGAGTGCTAGACTATGCTACAGAGTAAGATCTGAGAGAGAGAGAGGGAGAGAGAGGGAGAGAGGATAGAGGAGAGAGAGAGAGAGAGAGAGAGAGAGAGAGAGAGAGAGAGAGAATGTTTGCAAATGGCACACACTTGTAGTCTCAGAACTTGAAAGTGGAAAGTTGGAAGCAGGAAGATCAGGAGGGGATCAGGGCCAGCCTGGGCTATGTGGGACCCTCAAAGCGACCAAACCAACAGAAGAAAAACAAATAGTTCTACAACAGCAAGATGGCCTGAGGAAAAGCATTAATTCGTACAAGCCTGACTCCCTGATTTTAATTCTTGAAACCCAGAGAGGGAAGAGAATCGGTGGCAAATTGTCCTATGACATCCACATGAGCACCTGCACTCATCCTTCAACACCACCACCTCCACACACATGCCCCCCATAACATACATACACAAACAAGAGCACACGCACATGTACACACATACATAAGCACACAGGCTCAACATGCATACACACATAATACACACACACGAGCTCACACACACATACATGCATACACACTATGACACTCAGGGGCCTATCAGCAGCCATGGCTGAGCCCAATCTTGCTCTCCAGGAATAGATGCTCGTGGAAATCTTTGCTCCTAAGAATCTGGACCCATCTATGTTTGTCTGTAGGATGTGTTCCTAAGAGTCTCTGTTGTTTTTTGCTGGGATTCCTGTGGCCAGGCTTGGGGACTTCTCACCTTGAGTCTCTAGAAATGATCCCCATACCTCTCTTCCTTTCCTCTTACATCTTTTGCTTTTCTCTCATATATGTGTGTGTATCTATATATGTATGTATACACACACGTGTGCGCGCACACACACACACCCACCCCTCCTCTCACTGCACATTCTAAGCCAGTGGTTCTCAATGTGTGGGTTGAGACCCTGTTGACAAACCTCTTTCTTCAAAAGTATTTACATTCTGACTCATAACAGTAGCAAAATTACAGTTATGAAGTAGCAACAAAAATAATCTTATGGTGAGGGGTCAGCACATGAGGAACTGTGTTAAGGTCCAGGCTCTCATCCCAGCCTCTCTCCTGTTGATCCAGCAGTTCTGCAGACAGATCTGGCCACACAGGCAAACACGCAGTGTTTGTGGGCTTGCTCCCTGCAATGTCCACTAGAGCAGTGTCAAACTGGAAAGCTCACTGAAAAAAGTATATTAGCCAGGTGGTGGTGGTGTATACCTTTAATCCCAGGGGTAGGCAGACCTCCGTGAGTTCTACAGAGCAAGAGTTCAGAACAGCCAATAAATAAATAGCAAAAACCCAAAACCAACCAAACAACAACAAAAAACAAGTATGCTCCATTAGTACCCAGAAATGCCATGTGGCCCTTAAAGGTAGCGCTTCAGAGCTGGGTGTAGTCACCCATACCTCTGAACCCAGCAACTGGAGGCACAGACTGAGGGTCCCAGGGCACATGGAATCAACAAGACAGAACAGAAAAAGGGCTGGAGGTGTAAGCTCAGTTGGTAGAGTGTTTGCCTAACTGAAGCCTGGATTGATGCCTAGCATGACATACACAGGTCAAGGTGATCACACCTATAACCTAGGTACTTGGGGTTGAGGCATGGGAATCAGAAGTTCGAGATCATCCCAAGCTACTAAGAGTTAGCTCAACACGTGAGACCTTGTCTAAAAAATATTTTACTGAAACTATCTTCCAAGCTGGGTGTGGTGGCACATGCCTTTTATACCAGCCCTTGAGAATCAGAGGCAAGGTACAGCCTAGTTTGACATGGTGAGTTTCAGTACCATGATAGAAACGTTGTCTCCAAAAAAAGGGGGGTGGTGGAATCTGGCATTCTCACACATAAATGCAGACAAAAATACCAATGCAACACATAAAATAAATAATTCAAAATAATAAATACTAATTTGGTGTGTGTGTGTGTGTGTGTGTGTGTGTGTGTGTGTGTGTAAGACAAGGTCTCGTGTAGCCCAGATTGGCCTGGAACTTGTTATACAGCGCAGATGCTGTTGGCCTCTAGTCTTCCGGGCTTCACTTGAGTGTTAAGGACCCAGGGTAGTGCCATGTTCTGCTCAGTTTCCTAACTCTCAGTGTGGATTCTCATACATCTAGAAGGAAGTCACTTCAGGAATGTCAGTGGAAGAACAAGAGGGTCACATAGCTGGTGGCGGCTGGGAAGGGAGGCCTTGTTAGAGACTCACCTCATTGTGCGCCCCAAGTCCTTCACACCCGGCTCCTGTACTCCTGGCCTGTACAATGGGAATGTGCTAGTAAGTTAGGCAAGAGGTGTCCAGGGACCACATGGGGCCCCGAGCAGGTCAAATCCCACCTGGCGGCAACTCCCTTGGCCTGGTCTTCTATCTTCTCTAACACCCTCATGCCAAGGAGGCCTGGGACACCACCACCACCCCTTCAGGCTTTCCTGCAGGCTGTGCCTGACTCTCCCTAGCATTGAACAGTTACTACAGAGAAGTAACCAGAGGGAAAAGCCCCACATAGTTCAACTCTCAGATTTTTTTGTTTTGTTTTTCAACAGTTTTTCTGCATAGCCCTGGCTGCCCTGGAACTCAATCTGTAGACGAGGCTGGCCTTGAACTCACAGAGATCTGCCTAGCCACTACTGCCTGGCTAGAGATAGGGGCCTTTTAAGATGCTGGAGACAGCTGCAATGGGAGAAAGGTGTTCCACTCAGGAGCTAAAGTTTGATTTGGGATTAATGGGGAACTGAGGTTAAGAGTTCAAGTTGCTGTTCAGGTTAATTCCTGAGCAACTAGATAGCAGATGCAAGAACAGAACCCTGATGCAGTGGGAGATGCCTTTAGCTTGAGGCTGGCCAGTTGGGCAGGGAGTGGGGTGACGAGGGGCATGCCAGAGAGCCAGGCTGGTTCTCTGTTAACTGTACAAGGCTCTACAACTCCAGGTCTTGCCTATTCTAGACACTTGAGTGACGTTCAGTTTCCAATTCTAGCACTGAGGCGGCTGAGGTAGATGGACTGCTGAAGGCAGCCTAGACGGCAGGGAGATTCTTGTTTCAACATACTGAACAAAATTCAAGAGTAGCTGTGACCAACGTAGTTGATTCCTCCCAAATCACCCTGGAGCTCAACTCCCACCTCTGCTTACCTAGCCTTCAGGGGCAGCCATGGGGTCACCCTGATTCTTGCCTACACACTGCAAACCTTCCAAACACACTTGATTTGATAAGACCACCTCAATTGCAAGTACACTGTGACTACTTCAGTGCTTACCTTAGTCTGTTCTATGTCCAAAGAGCCTCACTTGCATATTAACTGGGTCATGTCCTTCAGAACATTTAGTGCCTGGTCTCAGCCAATGGAACCCCCTTCCAACCTACCCATGGCCGGCCTCCTCCACTGACCTCTACCCCAAACCTTAGCACAGTACTTCACTAATAACATTTTGTCACCATAGGCCTCTGGACTCAGTTCAAATTTTTCCCCCCTTGATAGTCTTACTATGTAACCCAGGTGAGCCATCTGCTTGCCTCTGCCTCCCCAGTGCTGGGATTAAGGGCATGTGCCATCATGCCTGGACAAATGTCACTTTTGGATCTAGTATTAGAAGGGATTTTATTCCAGTGTCAACAAACCTCAAGGAAACAAATGGACATTAAATGAAAACTCTGACTGGAGTTGAAGATTCAACTGGAATGCAGTGTGGCACTTGGAGATGTTGCAATGAGCCATTTTCAGCAACCTGGGCTAGGTGTTTCTTTTCAAAGTAGTTAGGACAGGGTAGAGATGGATGTTCAGGTCCCTATTGGACCAGGATGGGAACAAAGCCCACAGAGAATCCCAGGCGGCATCCAACGCACCATTCTGCACACTCCTTTAGCTCTTCATTACAGACCATGGCCCCAGTTCATAAGGGGTCAGGCACTGGCACAGTGCACACACACACAAGGACCTAAGTCTGAGCCCTTGGGACCCCTTACTGTCTGTCACTGCAGCGGCAGGTCTAGAGCCTGGCCTGCTACTGTGAATTCCCCACTCATAAAGGGGTGTGTTGTGTGTATTTCTGCTGTTTTTCAGAAAAGACAGGCCCAGCTGCTGACGCTTCAGAACTGACTAGAAGCCAGGCTGACTTGGGGACAGACAAGAATCTTCCCTTGAAGTAACAACCTTCGGGAAGCAGGTAGGCCCAGACCTGGGAAAAAGGCCCTTTAATGAAAATACATCACAGCTTTCTGGTTGGATAAATTATGAAATTTATTTATAGTTCACCTTTTAAAAGCCAGAACACAATCACCACACTTTCTGGAAAGCCGTTGTATTAGAAGTAGTTAGTGGACGTAATGCAGGACAAGAGATTCCTGTTGCACAGCTGCGCCCTTCTCAGTTCTCCAGTCAAGGTCGTGTCAAACTTCCCTCCTGGTGTCTCCTGAGCAAACCTTTCCAGGAGATACCGTGAAGTGGTAATGTCTGGGCCCTTCTAAACAGTAACACTGGGAAAGTGATCCTGCTCAACTCAGTTAGGAGGATCTGAGCTAGCTTTTCCCTGGCAGGCAGAGGCCATGGTGGAAGTGCACATGGCATCAAAAGCATACTATTGCATGCAGTCTCAGCTGGACCAGAGCCATAAGACAGGAAGGACAACTAACCCCCAAAGCTCTGGGTCTGTTAGAGTCTGTTCTGCTGCCTGGTAGTGCCCATTCTGTATTCTGTAAAATGTGCTGGACTTGCAGCTTTTAGAGCTGCTGCTCAAGAGAGCCTCCAGCAGACCACCTTTCTTAACTTCCCAACAGGGGCTTTGAAGAGACAAGTGGCTATGACCCTGGCTTTGCCACAGCCTTTGCAATGAAAGGCAGGGTTTTAAAACACATACTTGAGCAAGGAGATCCGTAAGACAGCAATAATGCTCAGGTTCAAGTTATCAAGCAGCACATACAATAGTCAGTGCCCCGCCACCATCATCCAAGGGCTCTTTCATTCTTCAGAGCAAGAGTATCAGCAGATACACAACAGAGGGGCACATGACCCAGCCACCTGGAACACTCATCAGTGTGAAAAAATCAAAAGCCACACCTCCCACTCTCTCCGCACTTAACAGATGAATGCACCCCAGCTTTGCTGTCCAACACTTCCATTCTAGTTCTACGATGATACCTTATCCTAAAAAGGCACTGTCAGGCATTTAAGACAGAAGCCATCAGTTCTATGGACGTGCAGGAGGTGTAGGGAAACAGCAGTAACCACAACTTCCAGCATCAGTTTGTGAAACCCCAAGGTCATCCAGGAAGAAAAGGGAAGCGCAGCCCTGGCTGGGTATACAGCAGAACCCAGGTACCTCAGGGCCAGGGAAAGGAGTCCCTGTTGAATTGTGCTATTCATGGCCCGGGGAAGGGGCCGGCTGGCTAGGAGGACTGAAGAGATGGACACTGGACAGAAGGATGAATGTGAAACAAGAGCATTTGGGAACAGAAGCTGGACTCTGCTTAAAGGAGGCAGTAGCCGAGGTATGGGGAGAGCAGGCCATGGGAACAACAAGGTTATCAGTGGGGAAGACAATGTCAACAAGAGCCCAAAGGAAACAGCTCTGCCCTAAGGCCCTGTCACCCTGGGAGAAGTGACCCTGTCCGGTGCCATGGCTCATTTCCAGATCTGCATTACATGTGAGGTGCAGGAGTCAAGGGCTCACACCTAATGCGTAATGGAAGCTCTAGAATGAGGTGGACAGTGAGGACCCTGCTCACTGGTCAATGATGGATCGTTGCAACACTTGGTTCATCATGTCATCTTCATCAACATCATAGTCCTAAGGGCAGAAGACAGCAGCCTAAGTGACTGTACACACCCAGAAGATTCACCTTCAGCAGGAACCTAGCAAGAGGGTCTGGAGAAGGCTGCTAAGAGCCCTAGGCCACTGTTTAGATGCTGCAGAACTGGGAAAACTACTTCATCTCAAGTGTCTCTGCTGTGTCATCATTAAATAAAAGTTAACAGCTTTTATTTCCCAGGTTCAATTTCTATCACCCACGGTGAATCACAACCACCACTAATTCCAGTCTCAGAGGATTGGACACTTTCTGGCCTCTGCAGGCACTGCACACATGTGGTGTACACAGATACATACAGGCAAACATGCATAAAATAAACCTAAAAAATGAAAAGTAATTCTTGGGGTTGCAGAGATGACTCAATTGGTCAGATCTCTACCACCCATGTAAAAAGGGGGTGTTGATGTGCACATCTGTAATCCCAGTGCTCTACAGTGGAGACAAGGTCATAGAGGCTTATGTCACTTAACATTCTAGCCCAAGTGGCACCCACCCACCCATGAAGAGACACTGTGCAGCTTCTCTCTGGGAAGAGAGTTCTTCAAGCCTGAGTAGTGCCCCAGGATACCAAAATCCGAGAAAATTGAGCAGCAGTGCTACCCCCTGGGGTGGGCCCTGACTCACCACAAAAGTGTCATAGGAAAAGCGGTGGCGGCGCTGGATATGCTCCATGAAGTTGGCGCTGCGGTAGCTAGGGTCTCCCCAGGGCATTGAGGCACATATGGGACAAACCTGTCAGGAGGAAACAAGGTGCTGTGACCAGATGCCTGAGCTAATCCTAGCCCTCGGTTCAGCCCCCTTTCTGCTAGGACAGCTTCATTGACAAGCCTAGGTACAAGGCCTGGTCACTCTTCTACATAATAAACATGAAGCAAACCAGAAAACGTTTGTCTATTTATAATTCAAATGACATGTGGAAATAGGTACAGGCTCATACAATGATGAATGACTGATTCCCAACAAAGTAAAATTTAACTTTACATGAATTAGAACAAAGACCCCAATAACAGGGATAAGGCCTAAAGTGTACACATAGAAATCCAACCTGAGCATGTAACCTCAGCACCAATGAGTCAGAAGAAAGAGGGTTAGGGAGTTCAAGGCCAGCCTGGGCTACAGGCGTGATTGGGGGGCAGTAGTAGAGTAGTGCTTTGGCTCAGATCAGAGTGAAGCAGTGCTGGAACACCGCATGCAGCGCAGCTCCTGATTCTCCCTTGGTTCCCTGCTGTTTGATGAACTCAACAGACAGCAGCCTTCCTCACTTGTAGACCAGACCAGCCTCTTCCTTATAAGGTCTAGGAGGCAAACACGGCTTCTTTTAACTCAAAAAGCCCAAGTTTGCTTCCTTAAATCCATGCCACCAACTCCATTTTAGCTCTCCAAGTTCACATCCCCCTGCCTTAACCATGCTGTGACCACTCTACTTCCAGGTGTTTCAGAGGTCACCTTTCACTTTGGAACCTGGAAGACCATCTGTAGCTGGAGCTGGCCTCCCCTTCTTGAGCTGATTGACTGCAGACCCCTGGATAGATGCTGGGATAGTCAAGTCTGGAGTCATTAACTGTGAGCCTAGCTAGATGAGGAGGAAGAACTGTTCTTTCACTTCCTTTCTGATTAGCTATAATAAAGAGCACCCGCTCCTGAACAGGCCTGGGAATTTGGATCATATCTGCCAGTTCTGACAGCACCACATGCATCTTTTTTTGGTTATTTATTTATTTATTTATTTATTTATTTATTTATTTGAGACAAGGTTTCTCTGTGGCTTTGGAGCCTGTCCTGGAACAAACTCTGTAGACCAGGCTGGTCTCAAACTCACAGAGATCTGCCTGTCTCTACCTCCCAAATGTTGGGATTAAAGGCATGTACCGCCACTGCCTAACTATTTAAGTGATTTTTTTTTAAAAGAAAATGTTAAGATATAAAAAGGCCATAGTATCTGTAATTTCTTCCTAAATGGCTTATCAAAACCATATATATGGCTGGGTGGTGGTGCACACCTTTAATCCCAGCACTTGGGACACAGAGGCAGGTGGATCTCAGTAATTTCGAGGCCAGCCTGGTCTAGAGAGTGAGTTTCAGGACAGCCAGGGCTGTTACACAGAGAAACCGTTTCGAAAAAACAAAAACCAACCCCCCCCAAACCATATATATATCACAGTTAAGTAAATTTGGCAAAATGCTGTTAGGTGAAGGGTTAAGCTGTCGCTATACAGTCTGGTAATTTTTTGTATGTCTGACTTTTTAACTTAGTCAAAGAAAAGGTAATTCTTACCACAGACTTGGTATCCATGCTGTGTGATAATTTGCAGTGCTCCACAAGTCCTTCCTGATCAAAGTTCTTCTCAGGACAGTAAGGACAAGGAAAGGTGTACCGGTTTGGGACATTTCTGGGAGGTGAGACACAAAGAGCACCCTGAGAACCATTCCACATCATCTCAACACTGCATGCTCCAAAGAACAAAGACCACTGTGTGTCAGAATTGAGTGTTTTGAGTTTTGATATCAGTAACATAGCTAACACATGAAGACATCTCCCACCCCAAACATCTCTCCAACTCCCTAAATCTACACACCTAAATCCTCCAGCAATACAAGCATCCCACATCTTTCTGGGGAAGAACAGGTCATTACCTTGGTTGAAGGGATGCATCCTTGGTGGTGGCCTTCACACCTTCCATGATGTAATTCTGGTATTTAGAACATGAAGCCACATGGGCTCGGATCTTCGATAGGACGTACTTGGATAGAAAGAGCGGACCAAGAATTAGTAAGAACTATTAAGAGTTGATCCCAAACCAGGGGCAGAATTGGATCACTAGCTGGCTTAATAGTCACAGAGCTCCTGCCTATGCCAGTGGGCAGAAACCAGGCTGCTGCGGTTTTTCACTTTGCCAGGACGGCTATTTCACTTGCTTACATCTGCTTCCCCATGAGGTCACTGTCACCATCTGCTCTCTGTTTACCAACATTTCCCAAATCCAGTGATGTTTTTAAAAAGTATTCCACACTCTATTTTGTGCACATTTTTGTGTTCTTTGTGGAGGCCACACAAGGTGCTGGTCCTCACTTTTCTACCTTGTCAGAGACAAGGACTTTCACTACTACATGAGCCAGGTTGGGCGCCCACAAGCTTTCTGCTGATTCTCCTGTGTGATTACAGATGATTCCGTTATCGCATCTATCTAAACTCAGGTCTCAGGAATAGGCAGCAAACACTATTACCTGCAAAGTCACCTCACTGGTCCTATACTCACATTTGTGACTTTGTCTCTTACCCAGTGGGCATGGTGGCACACATCTGTGATCTCAAGGACTCTGGGAGGGTAAGGCAGGAGGACTATCAAGAGTTCTAGACTAGCTTAACCCACACAGAGACTGAAGAGTACTTTGGTCTTCCAGCTGTATTTTTGCAACAGGGTCTTGCATTTATTACCCAAGTTGGCCTGAAGAAACCCTCCTCTCACCATTCCCAGGAGAGAATACAGACAAATGTTAACACACTTGAGAGCTCTTAAAGAATTACACAGAATGAAGAAAGGAGACAGAGATCTGGGGGTCATATCTACCATACAATCAATTTTTATTTCGTTTTGCCATAGGGTCTTATATAATAACCCAGGCTGGCCTTGAACTTGTGACCTTGCCTCCACCTTCCCAGTGCTGACTTTACAAGCCATGTGCCAATAACACATAGGTTTACTAACCTTGCAAATGGAGAAAATAAAGCACACAGGGAAGAAAAGTGCATGAAAAAAGACAAAGATTGAGGCTAGTTTGCTAAGATTCAAAACGAAACTGTTAAGAAGACAAGGTTCCAATCCCAGAGCTGTAGGGACTGGCCAGAACACACTGATTCAACTGCCAACCTAGGAGCTGGAGCAGGCCCAGAGCACTCAGACTCTGCTGTCCACTGAGGAGCCTGAAAATAAATGTTGGAACAGGCCTGTATGGACACTATTTAAGAGTCTCGCTATGCACCCAATATGAAATCTCTCTGAAAACATGGAAGGTAAAAGAAATATCCATTCTATGGTCATCTACACTATGATGCTCAAAGTTCAGAATTCAAGGTTATTCCTAGACATGGAGTCTAAGAACAGCTGAGGCTGCAAGAGACTCTGGGTAAAAGAGAAAGAAGAGCTGTAGAGATGGCTCAGTGGTTAAGGGCTCTGGCTGTCCTTCCAGAGGTCCCAGGTTCAATTCCCAGCACCTATATGGCAGTTTGTAACTGTCTATAGCTCCAGTTTCAGGAGATCTGGCTCCTTCACACAGAAATAAATGCAGGCAAACCACCAATATACATAAAAGTAAATAAACTTAAAAAATAAAAGGGAGGAGGGAAGGAAGCTTGCTAGGCATGTTTGCTCACATTTGTAATCCCATCACTTCAGAGGTGGAGGCAGAAGATCAGTGTAAAGCCAACTTTGGCCACATGAGATTGTTTTGCTTTTTAAAAACAAACAAATACCCCCCCCCAAAAAAAAACCCCAACAAACCACCAACCTGGGTATGGTGGTGTAAGTATTTAATCCCAGCACTCTGGAGGCAAAGGCAGGTGGGTCTCCATGAGTCTCAGATCAGCTACATCTATATATAAAGCTCTAGGACAATCAGGACTACACAGAGTAACCTTGTCTCAAGAACAAAACAACAAAAGCAAAACAAAACCTCCAACAAACCAAACAAGCTAGCCAGGGGCAGCACTGAGACTGTGGAAGTAAATAAAGAGACAATGAGACTCAGGGGTTGTGGTGACTCTGCCTATTATTGTTGCAGATCTTCAGAGGCAGAGGCAGAATGAACTCTGAGTTCAAGTTCAGCCTGAACTAGCTAGTTCTGAGCTAGCCTGGAATACATGGTGAGACCTTGTCTAAAAAACAAAACTAAAACAAAGTAACAAAAAAGATGACATACTAAGCTATCTAGGAAATAAAACAAAATTTTCAAATATAAAAAGATGAAAGAATGTAATAAGTAGCAGGGGTGTGCCCTCACTATGTTTGTACATATTTACACCTAAGGGCATAAAGTGCTGAGCAGCTTTTTAAATGTAAAACTATCCTCTGGCCTCAGCCTGGGTGCACGGTCACCAGTGCACAACACCACACAGCCAGCTGACCCACCTTTCTAGAGGGATGGATGGAAGAACAAACAGTGGTGTTTTATTACCTTTTTTACTGTCTGAAATAAAAAACCGTAATGACTTAAAACCAATAAGGAAGATGAAGTACTAGTTATCTGTGCTCCCAGCAGCAGTGAGCAGTGCAAGCAGGCACTCCACAGGCACAGTGCTGCAGCCCTATGTTAACTGCACAGCACGGGCACATCCCACGGTAGGTAGACACTGCTAGTGCACTCTCCACCTCATGCCCTGGACTCAGGGGCTTTCAAGGGTTAAAACAGAACCAGTGAACTTATGAGTTCAGAGGCAGGTTACAAAGCTTCCCTTTGAACTCAGTGCAGATTTTCCCGTTCTTGTTTTGAAACAGTCTCATGTATACCAGGTTGGCCCTAATTCCAGATTCTCCTATTTCCACACAGAGTGCTGGGATGGAAACCAGGGATCCCTGCATGCTAGGCAAACACTCTACTGAACTACACTCAGCCCCATGTGTTTTAAGCCACTAACTTCATTTTATATACATTACCCTTATATTCTAATTAAAATAGAAAGCACATGAGAGTTGACACTTTGAGCCAGGTCTTTGGTAACCCAAGCTGGTTCAGGACTTCTAACTTTGCTGCCTCTGTCCTGGGGACAGTGCTTAAGAGAAGTGTGTACAACTCCCCAGCTGAAGATGGGTCTTTAATGGGGGTAGGTTTATTTCTATGGATTTCAAAAGTAAAATTTACAAATCACTAAATCAACTCATGAAGAAACAAACAAACAAGCAAACAAAAACCCCCAGCAAGGTTGTGGGAAAAACAAAGTCCCAGCAGCACAGCCACCACCACAAACAGCAGGCATGCACTTGTGCTGTTAGTCACTACTCCAGGCTCTACTGCAGACACCTGCACTGTGTTACCATCTCATCACCGAAAGACAGGGACATACATTCTTACGGCAGCCATGGCAAGAAGTCTCTGTGCTCTCGATCTGTCGCTCGAGCTCCACAGCTCGGACGCCAGGTGCCAGAGCGCTGCGACACACCCCACAGACAGGTTTCTTCGGCTTCAGACATTCCTGCAGGCATGCAGAGCAAAAGCTAGAACAAGACATACAGAGAACCTCTGTCATGCAAAGAGACAAGACAACAAAAGTGGATCAACTCTTTAAAAGACACCAATGAATAATGGATTTGAACAGTCTATTTCCTACTCTTACTCAAATAAAATACTAATCGCTTTCAGGACAGAAAATAACTGTAGCTGGGGTTGAGGAAACTATGGAGAACACACACTCACATACTACACTATGTAGAGAAAGGCATACTTGAGACTTCAAAGCTTAGTTCCTGTCACTAGGGAGTCTTGGTGGGATTTCCTGACCCCGTTTTGTGTGTGTGAGAGGAAGATGTCATACCCACCTGGAGGACTCCTGGAGAGTGGGCCATGTGTAGCAAACACTTAACTGGGTATCTAGCGTGTCAATCAGGGAGCAGAACTGCTACTCTCAGAGGTGAAGGCAAAGCATGGGGACAAAAAACACAGTGCAACTAATTATAACCCAAGAACAGGGCTAGTCAGACCTCAGAGGCAACCTCTGGGTCAGCCTTAAAAGATTGCAATTGACAGACAAGGGAAGAATATTCCATGACCTCAAGTTAAAAAAATTATTTTCAGTCTATGCTTGGTGGAAAAACAAAACAAAAAATACAAAACAACAACAACAACAAAAAAAAATTTTCAGCCCCAGAACTCAGGAGGAAACGGCAGGAAGCTCTTTTTGAATTTGAGGTCAACTTGGTTTATATAGCAAGTTCTAGGACAGCCACAGCTACATAGAGGGACCCTGTCTCAAGAAACAAAGCAAACAAATACCAAGCCCAAATTCAAAAATGTCAAAGAATTTTACTCACAGGCAGGCAAATTAAACAGCAAAAAGAGGATATGGGAGGGACGGAGGCTCAGGTTGGCAATTCTCTTAAGGAAACCAAATTCTAGAAAGTGTTTCTTGGTAGGTTGGTGGTATCACACACCTTTAATCCCAGCACTTAGGAAGCAAGTTTTTCTCAAAAGCAGGTCAAAGCTTTTTTTGGAGGTGGGGGATTGGTTTGAGACAGGATTTCTCTATGTAGCCTTAGCTTTCCTGGAACTCACTCTGTAGACCAGGCTGGCCTCGAACTCAAGGATCCACTTGCCTCTGCCTCCCATTAAAGGCATATGCCGCCACCACCACCCAGCAACAGCATACTTTTTTATTATGAATGAGGGGGCAGACAGCGCAAACCTAACAAGTGACTCTTGGCAAGCATTGTGTACCACGGATGCATACCATGATCCAGAGGCAGAGGCAGCACCCGCTGGCTCACTCAACTGGAAGACAAAGATGAAGAGCAGGTGGTGCCGCTGAGAAGGGCAAGAGAGATGGCTATGAAGGCCCAGGTACCACTACTCACCCACTCTGACAGGTTGTACGTTACGTTAAGGAAACCTGATGGAAGAGTCCTAGTCATTTACCTGAGGGCAGAGTGGAGACACAAGTCTCTGCCTGACTGATACACACACACACACACACACACACACACACACACACACACACACACGTTGTCCTGGAACTATCTATAGACCAGGAGTTGGCTTTAAACTCCAAGAGATCCACCTGCCTTTGCTGGGATTAAAGATGTGGACCAGTGATTCTCTCTCTCTCTCTCTCTCTCTCTCTCTCTCTCTCTCTCTCTCTCTCACACACACACACACACACACACTTTTTTTTTTTTGATTTTTTTGAGACAAGGTTTCTCTGTGTAGCTTTGGAACTTATTCTGGAACTCACTCTGTAGACCAGGCTGCCTCTGCCTCCGGAGTGCTGGGATTAAAAGGCATGTGCCACCACCACCATGCTCACAATGCTGTATTTTTAAATTGAAGAAAACATAGTAACTTCTCATAGTGACAGAGAATATGGGTAACACTGAACTGCAGGCCACAAAGACCTGGACCAAGATAGTGCTACAGAGATGACACCAAACACGAAGGAATGTGTCAAGTGCAGACAAGAAGGCCTTTGGGACAGTGATGTGGCAGGCAGATCACACAAAGAAAAAGGCAAGGAAGTCAGGGCCTTAGCAAAACTGCATCCCAAGAGTAACTCAAGACAACAGAGGAACCCAACCCGGCATACAGACAGAAACGGTTCATTTAATGGCCTGTCAGATGCTCACCAGCCTCGATATGACTGAGTTATGCTTTGCCTATGAAGCAGCTAATAAGCTGTCTATGCCTTGAACTTTCAGTTTCTACTTCCTAGCAATGGGAATGTTTCTAGTTCAGCCTTCCTGACAGTGCTCTTTAGCATCTACCTATCTGCATCACACTAGACCAGAGGGTGCAGCAATTATGGTTTGACCCGAGTTTCATAAAAATCAAACATCCCAACCACAGCTGTGGGGCTCCCCAGCCCCATAGGCAAACATTAAAAATCAACTAGGTAGAGGCTGAGATGTCAGTCAGCTGCTCTCACCAAAGCATCAAACTGGGCTGGCAATGTTTGCTATGCCAGCACTGTTCCTTGACCTCTGACCAGGAAAGTTAAGGAAGCCTCAAATTTGGTCGCTTTTCAACTGTTCCCACCACTCTTGCAATGCTCTCCTACTGCACAGTGACCTAACATCATAGCTTGATTATTCACTAGTGATTCTTTAAAAGCAAAGTTTGTGTGTGTGCATGCAAATTCGTCTGCTGCTTTCAATGCTCCTACCATGTGGCTCCTCAGGGGTAAACCATCCTCAGTTTCTGAGCTATCTCACTATACACTACCGACTTCCTGATGGCCAAATCACCTTTATCCCAAAGGCAGCACACAGAGGGCATGCAGACACCCCCATTAAGTTGACTGTGAGGGGTCTAGGGATGCCTACATTGCTGGGCACTGAATTACAGTAAGGGGCAAAAAGGACATGGCATTCTGTTCTTGTGGTCCCTACATGGCTGCTCTGCGTAAGGAAAAAAGCAAGCAAAGCCGTAGGAAAGAAGAGAGAGGTCATCTAAGCCGGGACGTTAAGCCTGAAGAGTGGCGGGGAGGTGATGGGCCCAGGTTACCTATACCTGAACTCAAGCTGGAGGGATCTCATCCCTGGAAGCAGCAAGCAGCTCATGCTGCTGGGAAGGCCCTGCCTTGCAATGTGCATGCAGCGTTTCTGGACTGAACCAGACCTGGCAACACACCTGGGGGTGGTCTGGCAGGTGAGGCTGCCCCAAGAGAGCCTTTCAAGTTTATTCGCCTGCACAGGACCGCAGTGGGAATGAATGCCTGAGGGTCCCAGAGGGTGCTGGCGTTGCGGGGTCACCAAGACCAATGCCTAGGTAACAATCAGTGAGCAGGGTCACGGAGGAAAGGAAGCAGGTGGTCGTGTATCGCCAGCCTCTTCAGCTTAGGGGTGTCTGAATGTGCAAGGGTGGATTTCAAATCACGCTACTCGGTCACAGCGCCTAGGGGGAGCCCAGGCCGCCTGGACAAGTGACATCGGGCTTCCAGCCACGGAAGCGGAATTAAAACCCGAATGCAGCGCGCTTCGTGAGCAGCCCGCACCCGGCCGGCGGTTAAGGCCGAGCCTCCCGACACTTCCCTTTTGTGCGGGGCCAGCCCGGCGTCGGCTGTCGATACTTGTCGCCCGGCGACCCGCTTGACCGCCTGGCGGTCACGCACACACTCCGGACGCACAACCCGCGGCGGCCGGGGCGCGACGCCGAGGCTCGAGGGGACCGGCCGGCCGCCGAGCTCCCGCGTCAGACGCGCCGGCCACCCGCGCTCCGCGCCCCCTCCCGTCAAGCGCCCGCCACTTACACGTGTCCGCAGGGCACCTGCACCGGCTTCTCGAACACTTCCAGGCACACGGGACACGTGAAGCGGCCGAGGGGGTCAGTCTCTGACGGGGGCCTCGCCAACTGCGCGGCTCCATCGCGAGCTTCCTGCTGCGCCGCCGCCATCTTGCCGCTGAGGAGCGTCGCGCAGCGAGAGAAAGAGCCGCTGAGGGGGGCGGGACCGCCGGTGTCTGCGCACGCGCGAGGGAGGGAGGCGGGGAGGTGGGCGGAGCCTACAACCCCAAGCGCCTGGAAGCCGCTGCCCATCTAGGTAAGCTGATGGGCAGCCTGTGAGAGTAGGCTGTCACCAGGTGACCCGGCCACTCCGTGCCCACAGGAACTCAGATCATGAGTGTGTATTGTTATTACAGTTGGCCTCTGCCAACTCGCTAGCTTGACCAGGAGAACTTTGAACTTTCCAACCTCCTGCATCAGCACCACGTAGTCGGACTGCACCATCAGGTGTAGCCAGACGATTTTTACCAGATTTCTCAAGATTTCTCCTGACTGAAAATGAAGAGGCAGTATTTCCTCTAAGGGGAAATGTGTATCTCACATACTCACCTGGCCTGTAGGTGGACACCACTTACTTAAATCTTCCAGGTCTCTAGAGGTACATACTGCCCTTTCTCCATGGCTTGTACAGCCTGGAAAAAGAAAATATAAAATAAAATAAAATAGGACAGAGGCTTGGACTGGAAGGAGGTATAACAGGAAGACACTGTACTGTGAACGACCAGCCAGTACCTTCTAGGTGCCAAGAGTTGTGGCAGCTGTCAGGTACTGGCAGTGACTGATTTCCGATATCAACAAAGGGTTGCTTACCCAGAAAGTGTTGTCTAGGGCTGGGGTGTGGCCTAGTAGTTGGAGTTCTTGCCTAGCATGCACACTGGGCCCTGGGCGCCATCCCCGGCACTGTGTGTGCCAGGTGTGGTAGTGCACACTCATAATCCCCAGTGCTTGAGGGGTGTAGGCAGGAGGGTGAGAATATATGATCGTACCCACATGCAAATCTCAGAACTTTCTGGGAGGCTGAGGCAGGAAGACCTTTAGGATTGAGGCAGCCTGGGTTGCTTAGATACCCTGTCTCAAAAACCAAATCAACAGACAAAAAAAGGTGCTTCTAGGAAGTTCAGCATGCATGAGGCCCTGGGTTTGAGCCCTAGCTCTCAAAGAATGCTTACTCTTTACTTGACATCACATTCTAGATCTCTAGTCTTGGGGGCATTCTTGGGGATACAGTTAATCCCACTTTACTAACAGGGAATGGAGGCCCGGAGTGGCTACATAGCTTGTCCCTGGTGTTTTTGAGCTACCCCATGTGGGTGCAGGGATCTGCAAATGCTGAGACCCCCTCTTCCCCTTTCTTCCTGCCAGGGATGATACTGATATGTAACAGGGACACTCAGTGTGGCTTTTCTTTGCTTGCTTCCAGGACCAAAGTGCTTGCATTTGGCAAACAGCTCTTTGAAGCCTGGTGCCTGGAGGGCTGTATAGTATATAGTAGAAGCCATGGCCTCTACGGACTGTTTTCAGAGCAATTAAGTAGCACTCAGATGAGATCAAGATCCAACCCTGTGAACTATGTCTCCTTGGAGGTGGGTTGGGAAGGGTGGGTCCCCAGGAATACTAGCTCTTAGTTGACTTTGGACTTGTGTCATGAGGGCTTTGAAGCATTGGCAGTTAGGTTTATATTCAGGGAGAAAAAAGGAAGAAAGTGTTGTGAAGTAGCCAGAGAACACAGTGCCTACTTTGGGGTGACAGCCTCTTCCAAATCAATGACTTCTAGGAATCAAGGAACTAGATGCCCTCCTCAGCCTCAGCAAATTCAGGTTGTATTAGGTCAGCGAGCCTCACAGGGTAACTAACACCTGTTGCAGACTCAGTCCCTGGCAGGCTCAGGTGAAGTTCTTTCCTCCTGGTATCTCATCCCATGGCCAACATAACCTTCTGAGGGTTGGGGAAGTGGCTCCGTTGGTGGAGTACTTGCCTGCCAGACATGACCATCATGACATAAACCAGGCAGGGCGGAGCACTCCTCTAATTCTATTTATCAGGAGGGAAAAGCAGAAGAGTCAGGAGTTCAAAGTCATCCTTGTCTGCATAGGGAGCTCTAGGCCAGTCTGGGATACATGACATCCTGTCTCCAAAAATGAAGATAATCAAACCAAATGAAGAGAAGATAACCTTGAGGAAGGGACTATGAATACAGTTTAAGAAATCTCATGCCGGTTTGGAGAAATGATTCCACACATGGTCTGACATGAGGCTTACGCTCACAATCATGAGACAACCTACAAACATGCAGTTAGAAACAGGCAGAAGACCTGAGTTGGGTTCTCAGCATCCACATCAGGCAGTTCACAACCAACTGGTACTCCAGCCCCAAGGGACCTGACCCCCTCTTCTGTCCTTTTTGGGCACCAGGCACAAATGTGCCACACAGGATATATGCAGGCAAAACACCTATACATGTAAAATTAAAAGAAATAAGTCTTTAAAAAATGTTTAGGGGCTGGGGAGAGAACTTTTTGCTCCTGGAAAGGATGCAATTTCAATTCCTAGCAGCCATATATTGGCTTACAACTGTTCATAACTCGTTACAAGGGATCCGATGCTCTCTTCTGATTTCCATGGGCACCAAGCATGCACATGGTGCACACACGTACATTCGGGCAAAGCACACAGAAAACAAAACGAATAAACTTAATTAAAATTATTAAAAAATAAATAAAGGCTTATCACCCAGAGGGAAGGTCTTTGACAGTCAGATTGCAGGACCCATCCTACGATGTAAGCAGGCAGAGGCAGTAGAATTGCCTTGAGTTCAGGGACAGCATGAGTACCCAGCCTTGGTTACAGTGTAAAACCCTGAAGGAAAAGGAGACTGTAACAAGCCCTGGAGTAGTAGAATGGCTCTCAGCTCTTTTGCAGGGATGGGAATGAAGAAAGATGGAGGGTTGGTAAGGTGAGTTAGGAGCTTGATGACCTCAGTTGGATCCCCAGGGCCATGGTGGCCGAGAACTGACCTTCACACACGCTGTGGTATGCAGCAATAGTGCCCCATCCCCACCCAGTGCCAACAAACACAGTAACTAAATGTAAAAACACACAAAAACCGTTTAAGCTGGAAGGTGCTTGCACACACCTGTGACCCTCCACCTAGGAAGGGAGGCTGCTTTCTAGGCCACCCTAGGCTACATAGCAGGTTTCAGGTGAGCAAGGGCTATCACCAACCCACTACAATTATGACAGCTGCTGCTGAGTGCTTAGTCAAGTGCTTGTGTGGACCACCTGGTACCAGATGCATCCACTGGGAACTGTGATCATCTGGGAGCTAACGGATGAGGAGTCTGAGGCACACAGACTTCAGGCTTTCTGATGCTCTTTAGCCACTATGTGCTATGATGCTCATTAGCCACTATGTGCTAGCACAATGGAAGGTGCCATTCCTACTGTGCCCAACACGGTGTGTGCCAGGCTCTAGTCCCTCAGCACATCATTATGTGGTTACCAGCAGCTGAGTTTTCATCTCCTGGTTCTTTCTCTTCTGACTGCTTTCTTCCCTCCAGCTGAAAAGAAGGCCAGACCTCTGCATAAGCTCAAAACCCAACCAACAAACCATGGAATGTATTACTGGAGTACTAGGGGCTGAACCTGAGGCCTCATGCTGTGAGGCAAGCACTCAATTACAACAAAATGCATGCTAGTTGCTCTTCTAAAGAACTCAGGTTTGATTCCCAGCATCCACATGGAGGCTCACGACTGTAACTCCAGTTCTAAAGGATCTGAACGCCCTCACTTCTGGCCTCTGTGGGCACTGGGCATGCTTGCGGTGCACAGATATACATGCAGGCAAAATACCCATGCACATAAAATAATTTAAAACAGTTTTTTAAATTAGTTTTTTGAGACAGGGTTTCTCTGTGTGGCCCTGGTTGTTCTGGACTGACTCTGTAGACCAGGCTGGCCTTGAACTCACAGAGATCTGCCTGTCTCAGCCTCCTGAGTGCTGGGATTAAAGTCCAGCACTACAACACCTAGCCAAAATTTATTCTTTATGTGAAGCTGGGTGTCTGGTTCCCTGGAGCTGGAGTTACAGGTGATTGTGGGCTTCGTAATGTGGTTGCTGTGAACTGAGCTTTAGTCCTCTGGAAGAAAAGCCAGGGTTCATCATTGTTGAGCGCCTCCCCTGGCCCCTAACCAGACCACTTTTCACTGCTTAGGTCTCAGACTGGTATTGAACTCAGTCATTGTCTTGGCCTCAGTGCTGGGGCTGGAATGTCTAGGTGTATACAGGCATCTGGACTATATTCCTGTCTCTGGTTGGCTTCAGATATTTACATGAACCTAAACTCAGTGATACTGGCCAATGCTTGTTTCGTTTGTTTTTGTCCCACAGTGTGTCTTTTCCCTGCCCAGCATGCTTTGAGGCATCTTGTAGAGTTTCATCATCCTCTGCAGGTACAGGCTGGTTAGGGAGATACTCCACTCCAACTGCTGCTGTTCAGAGTCGCCTCCTTTGTTTGCTACTTGGACCACACAGCTTCCTGCACTTGTGTTTCTCTCCCAGAGGCCAAGAGAACCCAAGCTGGGTCACAGAACCTCTTTTGGTTTTTGTTCTGCGTGCTTCAGAGTTGTTGGAATTCTGCTACTTTTGTGATTACAGGAAAAAAAAATCATAAAAAATAGAAAGATGTAGGTAGAGTGTTGGCTCCTAAAAAGTGAGGGTGCCTGATGGTAGTCACATGATCATTATGTAACCTGCTAATCGTTATGTAATGAAGTCTGGATACCAAGCACAGAAGTCACAAGCCTTCATTTGTGTAAAGGATGAGAAATGTGTTTGTCTTGAGACTTTGGGTCTTTTCTGACAGGAAATGTCACGTGTTTCCATCACCAGGACTTCCCTCTTGGCTGTCACAGAACCACAGAGGTGAAAGGGACTTTCTTAAAGCCTCATGTGAAAATGCAAGCTTGATGCATTTGCTGACAGGGCTTTTGGTTTTCCTTTCCTTGTTTGGGGGATTGAGACAGGGTCTGTGAACTTCAGGCTGGCCTCAACTTACTAGTAGGCAAGGGTGGCCTTGAACTCCTGATTCTCCTGTCTCTTTATCTCCTGAGTTCCGAGATTACAGGCATGTATTACCACTCTTGGCTTGA